CCCTCAAAGACCCCCAGAGAAAATCTCGTCAGATCATTATATTACTCCCATGAGTATTGGATCGCACAATTATGCCCTTCAATCAAACCATTTGGATTTAAAAATTATTTCCATTTAAGATCATTCAACAGTATAATATATTGATCCAGCCCCTCAAATTTGATTGTTCAGTCTCACCAATTTCATGTTCAGACCACAACATTTTCCATAAATATTAATGCCAAAGTTCATAATCAAACCTTATATTTTCCATGAATATCACTCTTATTATTTACCCTTTTCACCTAGTATCATCCAGTGTTCAGTATTCTAATTTTATAATCAAAGCTGATTATCAGTCATTTATATCTCCCCAATTGTTTTTCATCATTTAGTGTCCCCAACACCAATCTAGACCCCTAGTTGTCTAGAACCTAAGCTCTGATACCATGAGTTGCTGCACCCCACTCGCATTACCATGAGATTAGAACACGACCCTGGCACTTGGGCCCTGGGGTCATGTTTGGATCTTAAGCGTTTGTGTTCCAGAAGTATCGGAATGAGCCTGCTTTCAATGGGACTCAAACCACAATTCTCACCATAGAAAGGATCAAATTCACACTATGACGACAATCATTTTCCATACAGCAGATTCCGTTACAGTAAAGCAGTACATTACATGGCATCTTCCTTGATCAAAGTTATCAAGCTCCAAATTTTCCATGCTCAAAATTTCCTAATATAATTTCTGTTCTCTAAAAAATTTCAACGTTTGCATACGAACTCCGAGAAAGACGAATATATATATATATATATATATATATAATATTGAGAAATAAGTATTTCGTCTTGGAAAGGGGAACAGGAGGTCAAGAATCTTATCTCTTATGTCAACTATGAAGGGAAGAGAGGGGCGGTGAGGGAGAGGGGAAGGACTAGAAGTAGGAGTGCAAGGAGGGGAGATAATTTTATTTGGTTTTTAATGAAGCTACGAATCATTACTTGGAATGTTCGTGGTCTCAACGATCTGGGACAAAGGGAGGGTGGTAAAGGTAGCTTTAAGGAAGTGGGGAGCCCAGGTTGTTTGTCTGCAAGAAACCAAGTTGGCATCCACTTCTGATGGGGTTGTTACAAGTCTTTGGGGAGGAAGGTTTGTGGAATGGGAGGCCTTGAATGCTTCAGGTACTTCTGGCAGAATTTTAGTTACGTAGAATTGCAGATGGTTGTCTAGGACGGACGTGTGGATGGGGAGGTTCTCTGTGTCTTGCCTGTTTAAGATGGAGGAGGACAATTTCAGATGGGTTTTTCTCTAGGGTTTACGGACTGGTTGTTGATAGTAATCGACCTCTTTTTTGGGAGCAGCTTTGCCATGTTCAGGGACTGTGGTCTCTTGCTTGGTGCCTGGGTGGGGATTTCAATTCTGTTAGATCCTCGCGAGAGAGATCTATAAGGGGAAGGTGGTCTTCAGATATGGTTCAATTTTCTGACTTTATTGATGAGCATTTTCTTAATGATTTACCAATGGAAGGTACAGCCTATACGTAGTCCAATGGCAGGGAACCAGTTAGTTTATCAAGGCTGGATAGGTTTTTGATCTTTGTGGAGTGGGAAGAGAAATTCCCGGATGCTGTTCAGGCAGTTTTAGCAAGGGTCACCTCTGATCATGTTCCTCTGGTTTTGGATTGTGGGGGTTTGAGTTCTCGATGTTCCCCGTTTCAATTTGAGAATATGTGGCTGAGAGTGGAGGACTTCCAAGGGAAAGTTCGGTCTTGGTGGGAGGAAGCACTGGTTACAGGTTCGTCCAGTTTTACGTTAGCCATGAAGTTAAGGGTTCTCAAACTCGAGCTTAAGAAGTGGAATAAGGACATTTTCAGGAATCTTGAATGGAGGAAGAATAGAATCCTTGCTGATTTTTCTGAGATTGATCGTCTTGAAGAGGCGGGTGGGGATGTGGAGTCTCTACGTTGTAGGAGAACCTCCTGTCAGGCAGTTCTTGCTGAGATTGCTAGTATGGAGGAGACCTCGTGGCAACAAAAATCTCAGCCTCTTTGGCTAAAAGGGGGAGATCGTAACACAAAAAAATTTCACAGACTTGCTAATGCCCACAGAATGAGTAATCACATAGGGCAAATTCGGGTCGATGGTATGGAGTTGTGGAGGGAGGAAGAGGTGCGTAATGGGATCGTTTCTTTTTATTAGAAGCTCTACACCGAGCCGTTAGCTTAGAGACCCAGGATTGATGGTCTCCATTTTGAGGCTATTTCTGAGTTGGTAGAGATGGGCTTGAGATTCCTTTTTCTGAAGAGGAAGTTCTAAAGGCTTTATCAAGTTGTAATGGGGACAAAGCTCCAGGGCTTGATGGGTTTACTATGCGGTTTCTGATGGAAAGTTGGGCGGTGGTAAGAAACGAGTTGATGGGTACATTTCAGAAGTTTCATTCTACTGGCGTCTTCGAGAAGTCGTTAAATGCCTCATTCATTGCCCTTGTCCCTAAGAAGGGCGGTGCTTCTGACATTAAAGATTTTAGACCAATTAGCCAAGTGGGTTGCATTTACAAGCACATGGCTAAGGTTCTTGCTCTTAGGATGAGGGATGTTATGGATGGGATTATTTCGGACTCCCAGAATGCTTTTGTTGGACGAAGGCAAATACTTGATTTAATTCTTATTGAAGGCAAATGTGTAGATTCCAGATTGCGAAGTGGTGTCCCCGGAGTCTTATGCAAACTTGAGATTGAAAAAGCTTATGATCATGTGAATTGGAATTTCCTGCTATACTACCTTCAGGGAATGGGGTTTGGAAGCAGATGGAGGAAATGGAGAGAGACATGTCTTTCGTCTGTAAAGTTCTCTGTTCTTGTGAATGGGTCTCCCGCTGGTTTCTTGGGTGTTCTCGGGGTTTAAGACAAAGAGATCCCTTGTCGTCTTTCCTTTTTCTCATTGTAATGGAGGGTTTGAGCAGACTTATGAAGAGGGCAGAGGATCTCGGTCTTATAAAGGGCTTTAGGGTGGGCAGAGATCTAGTCCATCAGTTGGAGATCTCTCATTTACTATTTGCAGATTATACCCTAGTTTTTTGTGATGCTGATGTGTCTCAACTTAGATACTTGAGGTGCATTCTGGCTTGTTTTAAGGCGGTTTCTAGGTAGAAGTTTAACGTGGCTAAGAACGTGCTTGTCCCGGTTGGGTGTAGGGTGTTCTCTTACTTGGGTTTGCCCCTAGGGGTTTCCTCTAGGAGAGTGGGGAGTTGGGATCCTGTGATTGACAGGTATGTGAAGAGATTGGCGGGGGGGGGGGGGGGGGGAGGGGGAGTTACTCTTATAAAGAGCACTTTATTGAGCCTTTCTACTTATTTTTTTTATCTATGTTCCAAATTCCATGCTCTGTTACCGAAAGGATCGAGAAGATCCAAAGGGATTTCCTTTGGAGGGGAAGGGGCGAAGAGTTTAAGTATCACCTTGTCAAATGGGAGCAAGTTTGCAAGCCCATGAAGTTGGGTGGTCCGGGCATCAGGAGGTTGGTTCCCTTTAATCAAGCTCTCTTAGATAAATGGTTATGGAGATTTGGGAGGGAAAGGCATCGCCCTTGGCGAAGGCTTATTTCATGTCGTTTTGGAGAAGAGAGTGGCGGTTGGTCTACTCGTCCGGTTTCTATTGTGGAAGGAGTTGGTGTGTGGATATTCATTCGGAAGGGTTGGGATGTTTTCTCTTCCCACATCATATTCAAAGTTCGTGATGGCAGATGTGTTCAATTTTAGGAGGATCTATGGTGCAGTGACCAGCCATTGTCTTGTACATTTCCCATATTACAAAGTATTGCAGTTGATAGACATGCTTGCGTAGCTAACTGTTATCGGCTTAACAGTAATAGGATTATGCAGGACGTGCACTTTCGGCGTTCTTTTCAAGATTGGGAGTTGGACGAGATATGCGTTCTTTTGGATCTGTTGTATCGGCAGGAGGCAGTTGGCAGAGGTAGTGATGATCTTACAAGGATCCCCTCTTCCCATGGTCATTTCGAAGTACAATCCTTGTTCCTATGCCTATCTAACTTTGATAGCCTTGATTTTCATGGAAGACCATATGGCGTTCTATGGCTCCAACTAGAGTGGCATTCTTTGTATGGACTACTGTATGGGGTAAGATCCTGACGATTGACAATTTAAGAGAGGTAACTGTATCGTTAATTGGTGTTGCCTGTGTAAACGAGATGGTGAGTTAGTTGATCATATCCTCCTATATTGCCCCGTGGCGTACGATTGCTGGAATCTTATACTTGGTTTGTTTGGCATGCTTTGGGTAATGCCCCGATCTTCTAAGGATTTGATTCATGCATGGAGAGGTTGTCTTATGAGAAATAGTGTACGCAACTACTGGAGGATAGCTCCACATTGCGTGTGGTGGTGCATTTGGAAGGAAAGGAATAGCAGAATGTTCGAAGGGAAGGAGTCATCCACGGCGACGCTGAAACTTCATATTATTTGCTCTCATTTTAGTAATGTGAAGAGGAGTTCTTGCTCCTCCTCCGATGATTTAATCATTTTTTTGGATTCTTGGGGCCTTAGATCCCGGTTCCACTTTGTGTAAGGGACGTGTTCCCCTTTTGAACGCTTTTTATTCAATTATTACTTATCAAAAAAAATATATAATATTGAGAAATAAGAACATATAATCAATCAGCCATAATTCCATCCTCACATATTGGGAGTTGCCATGTCCAAACCTCATATCTGTGTCAAGGCGCAACACTAGTATCTGTTTAAACATATGGTAAGTTTAAAAATGAGAGAGACATTCCTGTAAATGAATGAGCTCCATGTTCATACAAGCAAACTATATGTGATGGGGCATATTGATAGAAGCTAAAAAGGAAATAAAGTCAGAACTCTTCCATAACCACAACAACAAATCCCAGGGCTAAGAAATATTGATATGTATTGACGGTATAGACTTCTACGAATATTGAAGTTATAAATATGTATGGCTGGCATAAAAATATGTTGTGAAGATTTAACATACATACCTCCTCTTTTCGGGTTCACCGGGAAAATTGATTGTAAATTTGCATAGGGAAGCTAGAAAAGAGTTTAAAGGTTCTACAGCGCGAAGAACCCCACATGCCTGTGCAATAATTACAAAATCTTCATCATCAATTGTATTAGATGAAGTGGATAAGCAGATAACGTAAAATGGATGATAAGGAGCAGAATATATAACTAAAATGAGCTGTACTGGAACATAAAACCATGGTTTTGGAAACGAGAATGTCTTGTTATTAAAAAGTAAAATAAAAAGGAAGTGGTTGAAAAAACATTTATATTAAAAGATAGCCAAGTTGGCAACCAACTATATATAAGTGTGCGTGTGTGTGTGTGTGCGTGCGCGTGTGTGTGTGAGATAGAGAGAGAGAGTCAAAATTATGGTTACCTGAGTGAATGCCTGATATCCCTTTAAGATCTCCAATACGATAGCCTCTCCTTGCGACCTTTTAAATTAACTTCAGGTTAAAAATAGATAAATTGGTTTATTACTAAAACTATTATATCCATTAGATGACAAATAACCATACTTCGTCAAAATCAAGGACAGTGCATCAAGTATGGTCAGCCACATTGAATCAACCATTGACATGCAAAGAATTGCAGTATTTCCAGTACACTTCGATGGTGGATCAGAGTCATCTCTAGGGGATTCAAGCTGATTGTTACAAGAAAATAAAAGAAAGAAAGGGCATAACATAAGTATATCATATGATTTCCACACTAGGAAGAAAGAACAAGAGTATGTGTGAATACACTTGCATAGATATACACACATAATAAACATGCATACACCCCATTACCTCACCAACATCCACTGCCTCATCTGTCAAAGTAGCCACTGTAAATACAACACCCAACAGACCCTCTATTGCCAAAGTTATTGCATGAGCCTCGCTTGCAACCAAAACAGCAACATTGGACGCATCATTATCTAAGCTCCATTCAATCCCTGCCAAAAGAACAAATTATTATGTTGTGGACCTGTGGTCGTCAAAAAATTGCACTAACTGATGAACCACATAAATCCGAACAATTCAAAATGAATCTATATATGCATTAACATAATCCCAAGAAACAAATTTCTCACCACTCTTTTATATCCTTGAGTATAAGAAAAATCAAATCCACTAACAGTAACGGTTGAAAGTATACGTCTAAGCATCTGATTTATTAAATCTCCAAACTAAACGATGAAGAGACGATGCTAAGTATTAATCTTATTTTATATTTTTCATATATCTTCTAAAGTAAATAATATTTTCCCTTGTCTTGAAAAATTAATTTAATAACAGGAACATAACAGAGCTTTAGGTAAAATTATATAATAGACATGAACAATTGTAGATGCATGTCGTATCATATGTTGTGTGTCTGAAATTGGAGATCACGTGACTTTTAAGAGTCCATTAGAATTTCTCATACCATTTCCCACAACATGTTGAATATTCTTGGAGCATTCCTTCCATTCATACCAATTATTTTTCCATAAAACCACAACACATGAGACAACCACACTTCTCTCCTGTGCCAATCCCTCATATCAGTCACAAACTTTCTAGCACTCTCCTCCATAGACTGTCCCCTCAGTCCGGCTTAATCAATTTCCCATCAATGCCTGATTAAACAAACGTAAATTTCTAATCCCCAACCACCTTAAATGCAGACAACATCCATATAAAAGGTCTTAAATGCCCAGTACAGCAATATCTAAGCGTGACAGCCCACATCGCCTGGGGGGAGAAGTTCTTGGCACTTGTAAGGGAGGATGCCTCCTACTTGTGTAGATGCTTTTTAAAACCGTAAGCGCCAAGAGGGTGCAAAGCGGACAATAACTACACAGTGTGAGGTGGGTCATGACATTTGGTATCTGATATGGGGGAGCAACACAAGCCTATGTGCATCCCACCAGTGAGGGCACTCAGTCCCAAGAGGGGGTGATTGTGACTGCCCACATCATTTAGGGGGAGAAGTTGTAGGCACTTATAAGGGATGATGCCACCCACCTGTATAGACATATTTTAAAACCATGAGCACCAAAAGGGCGAAAAGCAGACAATATCTGTACAATGTGAGGTGGGTCCAGACACTAAGGATCAAACAAAAGAGGCTGAAGGGTAGGGCACTGTTTGGAGCTTCCGTTAATTCTTAGGCTCTACCATATATGTATAAATTCTCTCCTTGAAGATTAACTGTTCATTTGTTTTCTTTTACATGGACACAATTTCTCAAACACATGCTCATGTACTCCACAATTGCATAAGAAATTGGGCACTGTGTGAAGTAGATTGTAGCACACTGATACAAAGGATAAATCACTGAATTTTCCGGAGGTGGCCCTTGCTTCATGATTACATATCATCTATGGAAGGAAGAAGGCACCAAATTAGCACTAGCAACATCAAATAGATTCAACCGCAGTTAATGCGATTGTTTTTATATGCAAGTCATGCAACCTAAAAGAGACGGATAACAATCAAACTTATTCACAGGAAAGAAGGAGATAGAAAACCATCAAATGTAAGTTGAATGACCGTTTCTTAACTGACATGATTAGGTTTTTAAGTTACATCAACCCTCAAACATTCCTGGGATCATCAAAGAAACAGAGATTTGAATAGAGTAACAGCAGATATTGAAATGCATAGAGTTCATTTGATCAGTAGATGTAACGTCATGAATACTGTTTTTTTTTTTTTTTTTTTGATAGATTTTACAAGGGGTAGAAAAAAAAAATGTTTCATCTCCACTGATCTGCAACTCCATTGGATTTGTGAAGTCCATAACAGGATGTAACGTCATGAATACATCATGAGAGCAAGAGACTGTTCATCATCTTTCCTTTCAATGTCAGTTGTTGCATGTTTTAGGTCCTGGTCCAAATCAGCCTCTATGATTCCTTTGCAAGTATATGCTAAAAGGAGGAAGGTGGCTGATAAGCAGTTCTATCAGTATCAAGTCTACAGTCTCTTCTCACGAAATTGTTTCCATTCTGTCTCTAAAAGGTTTCAATAATTGTGGCCCTGCTTGAAAGCCCAGAAAACATCCATTTCTCTCTAGTTAAAAAATCCCTTTCCCCTTTTCTAGAATTTAAAGTAAGCTTTGAAAGGTAAAGACACCCCCAACAGGCAGTCCATGATGTAATCCATCATTGGCATGATTGCAAATAGTTGAACCAACTCTTATTCAAATATCATCAACGCACCCAACTGCCCCCCTTCGAGCTAGTAAAGCAAACATCAAAAAAGAACTGAGACTCTCCAGCCCCTTCAACAGCAATTCCTGTACTTGACGCTGCATCTCCTCGTATGGAAATGGGGATGCCATAAGCCGCTTTGCAGGATAGATTTGCTTCTACCCACAAATAAATTTGGTTCTATATTCTCCTCGTCTTAGGGGCTAATCCAGCTAAGATTTGTAAGGGGTGGCATCAAGTGGGAAGTGCAGAAAAATCTGCACTTCCTTTTTACAACATGAAAGGGTGGGAGCCTGTAATATCCCTAATTTCAAAAGGATAATCTCGGTATTATTTTAATTATTTTAATTGCATTTCAATTGGTTATTTGATTTCTTGGCTAATTGTTTACTTGTTTAATTGATTTAATTGTTTATGTGTTAATTGAATTATTTGTTTAAATTAAATTGTGTGCTAAAATTATGCATATTCGATTTATTTGTTTAAATTAAATTGTGTGTGATGATGTGTATTTGTTTAGGAATTTAATTGCTTTATTTATTTATTTATTTATTTTATATATTTTATTTTTTCATTTTTAAAGGAATTGGATATGGATAGTAGTAGTGGACCAACCAATTGGGTCCCATGGACTACTTGGAATGGGAGGTTAAATGGGTACGGATAGTTACCCATGGATAGTTGTATATGTATATGTATATATATATATATATATAAAGAATGAAATTTATTAATTAATATTATTTATAACATAAATAATCTGATGTGTATATATATGTATTTATATAATAGAGGATATAGATAGATTATATATACATAAATTATTTAATTAGTTACCTTTTTATATTTTATTTAGATTAACTTTTATATATTTTTTTAATTATACTTGGATTGGGAAAAGGATTAGGGTTATTTTATTTGCCTATAAATATATAAGTATAGGGTTGTAAAAGGGGCTAGAAAATAATCACATAATATATTTTAGAGAGAGAAAGAAGGAAGAAGAAGGAAGGAGGCTAGGGTTTTTATCAAATCCATAAAGGCAAGTTTTAATTCTTCTCTTCTCCTTTGATTCATACCTTATGCATGCTAGATTAATTATAGGTTCTTTGAATAAATTAATTGGATCAAATTACATGGATTGATTTAGGAATTTCAGTTCATGTTTTAATAATGGGTTTTAATTATTTTCTTTTGCCTACACTGTTGGTGGCCTTGGTTTTAATTTAATTTATTTTATTTTTACATGACTTAAGTAGCATGAATCAGTGGTGTGTTTAAATATAAAATTAAAGTTTGTTCCTACATAAAGCATGCACACGAAACGAGGAGGTCAATACAATGGTGGAAAAAAAATATAATAAAAATAAATAAATAAAGAATTTTTCCATGCATGATGTATCAGTTTGTATGTATGTGAGTAAAGTCAAAATTAGTGGTTTTTTACAAGTTCGGCACACCGAACGAGGCGAATTAGAAAGTGGCATGAATCAGTTTGTAGTTTTACGTAAAACTGTATTTGGAATTTGTTTCTTCATGAATTGTGCACACCGAACGAGGAAGAGAAGACAATGGTTTTAGGAATGGATAGTTGGGTATATAACAGAATTGGTTTTGCATTAAATATTTTTAACGTTAATTTGATTAATGCTGGGATTATTAAATTAGTATTTGTTATTTTTGATTGATGGATCTCTATTAAATATTAATTTAATTTAAATAGATTCATTAAGAATTGGGTTGCATGATTTAAAGTACTCATACTAAGTATGAAATTTAATTTTAAAAGATTAAATTAATTAAATTTTTTTTTTTATAAGTAAAAATAACATTAAAAAGGTGTTCAAAAGGAGAACGCGTCCCAATTACAAAAGTGGAACCGGGACTAAGGCCCCAAAGAATCCAAGAAAGTAATTAAATCATCAGAAGAAGAACAAAAACTCCTCTTCACATAATTGAAAAGAGAACGAAGAATGTAAAGTTCGACCATTGCCGTAGGCCACTCTTTCCCTTTGAACATTCCGCTATTTCTCTCCTTCTAAATGCACCACCATACACAATGTGGTACAATTCTCTAGAAATCGCGAACATCTCTTCTCACTCAACATCCTCTCCAAACATGAATTAATTCCTTAGTAGATTGTGGCATAACGCAACACATGCCAAATTATTTAAATCAATTAGATGGATTTAAATGAATTTAATTAGATTGTGGAGGAGTACAATTAATTGAGAAGCGTGTTAATTTCTTATGAGTTAAAATTAATTACATAATACTTAGAATTGTTATTTTTTCTCAATTAAATTTAAGTGATGTTTATATGATTTATATCATGTTTGTGTGGATTATTAGATATAGAGGTTGTTTGCATCTTTATATGGATATAGAAACCTTTATGTGATTATATTGTGGATTAATGCACCATTATGGGATGGGGAGATATAAGGGAATGGATTAACTAATAAAGTTAAGTCCTACTTATTTTCTTGTCAGGTCAACGGAATAGTTGGATGACATATTATTAAAATAATATTTGAATAGTTTATTTTGATGGTTGGATAGGACGGATTTTATATATAGAATTATGCCATGATATAAGCTTGAGTCTCAGGATCAGTGGTTAGGGTACGTATATTGCAAGGGATGTGTAGCTAGATATAGTATAGTTGTGTACCCTGGTAGGTCTAAGTACTTATACCTACTATATGTGCGTTTTGCATGTTGCCTACTATTCAGGTTGAGGCAATTCTATAATCTAGTGAGGTTCCTTTAGTGTGCATATATCTATATATGGATTATTTAGTTATTGTTGAATTAACTAAGATGTATATGTGTATCGAATCTCTATTTGGAATGTAGTAGATTAGAACTTGTTTGTGGGCGTGACCCACCATTATTTTTCAGGTGTTCGTCAGTTCCAGTCTTAGAGATTGTTCGTGCCGAGCAGAGACAGTCATTCATTCTTCCGACTCTACGTAGGACTCTTCTTCATGTTTTAGTTATTCGATTTATTTCACTTCAGTTATTTCACTTAGGATATTATTAGGGGTCCACAGTACGAATTCCCGAGTTGTAATCAAAATAATTACTTGTATCAGAGGATTGGAGGATTTTATTATGGGATTTTTAATTATTATTTATTTGAGGATTATTAAGTGAGGATTTATTATTTAGTTCCCTTCAGATTATTATTTATTTATTTCTTTATTATTCTTTTTGTATTCAAATGCTTGTTTAAATATTAATTGTTTGATATCCCTTGTATTTTATGCTCGGACTTGATCACCAATGGCTCTAGAATCGAGGGGTATCACAGAACCTCTTTATGTGGGGCACCCTGATGAACCAACAGGACCCATCATTAATGTCACATAATGGAGGATTATTTTTAGTGATTTTTGGTTGAGCCTAATAATTTGTGGACCCAGTAATAAAGAAAAAATAAGTATTATAATTTTAGGGATAATTTAGTAATTTTTTTATTTTTTGTTGGTGCCCAAGTCAATAGATTGTTCGGTTATGGGTTATATCAAGTACAGTTAAATTTTAATTTAGTAAGTCCTTCGTCTACCAAGAAAATTACATACTTCTATTCTTCTATACAAGCAAATTACATACTTCTATTCTTCTATACAAGCAAACTTTGCAGAGACAATTACACAGCATTTATTAATCATAATACTCTGCTTTTATTTATTTATTTATATAGGGTCTCTGCAGTTTTTTGCTCTCCTCAGAAATCTCCTCCTTTGATGGTGAGACTCAGTTAATTTCCTTTGAGGTGAAACTCCTAGAAGGACTCCGAGAGATTATAAGGATCATCACTCTTTCTTCTTTTAATTCTTCTCTTTTTTTCTTTTAATTCTTCTCTTTTTTTCTCAATGTGGATTTCCAGCACTGTTGTTTGCTATCGGTCACGCAGGCTTGTTCCTTGTCCCATGTATCAACTGACATTCATAAGATTGAACCAAACGTGGTATTTCTATGATTCTGGAATAGAATGCTGCCAATTATTGTTCCACTTCGCATGTCTTTTTCCGATCAATTGGTACTAGTTGAAGAAATGAAAATTTCTATGCTTAATATTTAAAACTTCAAATGCTTATAATTCTCCAGCCCCAAGAATACTTTTTCCTCCATGCTGTGGCATGGAAGAAGAATTCCGGAATTATTATCTTTGGTTCCTTAATCTTCTCTTTCCAGGCACACTGAAATTTCTCCTCCAGAGCAGCAGTTTCATTTGCTAGGTCTGTCGTTATTGTGATGTTTATGATTCGTGTCACAGCACAATGTGCCTAGCATTACTATGATTATTCTACCAGAAAGAAAAATACGAAAAAGAAAAAAGACATGAGGCACCACGAGAAAAAAATTGTCAATACAAGAACACCCTAGATTTCTATTTCAATCGTAGATGCCAAGAAAAACTTAGCTAAAACACTATAAATTGCAGCTCAACAAAAACTGTCTTAAGGTAAACACTAAAGCCTTGGCTTGAGTGGTATGCCCCCAACCCCCCAGAAAGGGCGCGTGTCTGAGTATATCAACCAAATCAATAACAAAAAAATAAAAAGAGTGTATTTTGGTGTCAAGCTACATATAAATGCTTAAAATGAAAAAAATAAATTAAATAATGAAGTGACTACCTTTAGCTTTACTGCTAAACATTCCTGCAACAGCTGCCAGGCTCTCCTCACTTGTATCTTGAAACTGGAATATTAACTATATTCATTAATCATGGGAAATGAACTTACCCATAATTTCTTTTTTCTTTTTCTTTTTTAATTCTGATAAAAAAAAAAATGAAAATATAACAAAAATAAGAAGAGAAATACGAAGGACAAAAGAATGATAATATTAACATTTCCAACATGTAGACTACTGCTATCACAATGTCCATTTATCCTGCAGGATTATGATACAAAACAATATCGCATCTGCATATGTGGGGTGAGAGGCAGAGTAGAACTATATTTAAAGTTTGATCCGTGACGGAAAATAAAAATAAAAAAAAGGTAAGTAGGAACTGATCTTCAAGTCTTCATTTAAATATTATATTATCAACTAGGAACATGTATATATATATATATTTACCCACCCATGAAAAAGAGAAACTAGTCTTCTTTTACTCATTTCATGGACATTTGAATTCAATAATGAACCACAAGCTACAAGTGAAACGATGAAGCCTATAAAATTTATAACAAGCCGCATAACAGGTTAAACATGAGGACTACATGTCAAGCATGACATGAATATTTTGTGACAATTCATGTTCCCCAGATCCACAAATGCACCAGGTATTTTTTTTCTTATAGACCTTTATGGGTATATTCTAGAGCATGATAATTTTGTGAAATGACAGGAAGATATTGTGTTGTTCTATAACAGATACCCTAAAGACATCTAGATAAAGACATACCACCCAAAATTATAAGAGATGCAATCAAACAGAAATTTAAGGATTCATCTTCCTCCATCTATCTGTACAATGTATTTTCCTCCTTTTAAGTATAATTTAGTAGCCTTTTCCTCTTTCAAGGTATAGTTCAGTGGTTACTGCAAGAAATATGTAATTTTACAGCTAAGGTGAGACTAGAAATTTAATATTTTGCAGATGTATTGTTTATCAACAAATAATTTGGGCATTGCCAGGAAAAACATTGAGCGGCAAGTTTAACTGGTCCTTTATTTATTTAGGAACATATAAGGTAGTTGAGCAATATGCATACAAGGAAATCGAATTTCTCTTTGTAAATTTATGAAATACCATCGAAGTACATAGTATTATAAACCACCGGAGGGATGGTTACTCAACAATGCCCCCTCCCCTTTTAAAACTGACAGGAAATTTTTAAAATCATGCCCCCTCATGGAACTTCATCATTTCCTAATGGATTTTTTTTTTTTTTTTTTTTTTTTTTTTTTTTTTTTTGATAAGTAAGAATTTATTAAAAATGCTCAAAAGGGGAGCGAAGCCCAAAGAAACAAAAGGGCCAAAGGGCGCCTTAGACCTTCAGAGAGGCCAAGAAAACAATAATTTCTTCCATAGATCTATAATCTCTCCCTGAAACCCAACAAAAGAGAGTAGAAATAACAGAGAACTTGAGCATAGAAACAGGCTTCTTTTTTCCGTCAAAATATCTCCTATTTCTCTCAAGCCAAATACACCACCAGATACAAAGCGGCGTAGCCCTCCAAGCGTCCTTAATGCCAGCCCCAACAGAGACGCCTCTCCAAGCCTCAATCAACCCTCTAGAGGAATAACATTTCCTAATGGACTTGAGTTTCTTAAAACACGTTGAACTTGTTTTTAGTAGTTTCTTGAGATCGACTCACTGCAGGAAAATTTCAAAAACTGTTTTTGAGAACATCAACTAATTTTATTCTCATTTTTTCCATTTTCAAGGCCACTACAAAATAACTTGTTTTCAGTAGTTTCTTGAGATTGACCCACTTCAGGAAAAATTCAAAAACAGTTTTCAAGAACAATCCAATTTTATTTTCATTTTTTCCAATTTCAAGACAACTACCAAATACACCCTACACTTTCGAAGACTAACAATTCTAAATTACTAAATCCAGCATCGCACTCTGTCCTATTTATTCCAAGTAATAGCTACTGCCTCAAAACTACAAAGCACTTCACTCTAATGCTCACTGCCTTATGCTGCACTGAGGATAGGAAAAAGGTCACCTGGAAAAGCACAAGATCTGAAAACCACAGACAAAGGCGGCTGGAAAGAGATGTGTACTGGCCATGAAAGGAAAGATGGTGCACTAATGCCTCGAATAAAAGCATGTACAACACTACAACACTAATTAACAAGATGCAAAAACTAACAATATGACTAACGTATGAGTACTCAATACTTATCAAAAAAAAAATACGTATGAGAACTCAGTGAGGAATGGCGATTTTAAAATAAAGCAGTCTTGAATGAGATATAAGAACAGAAAATTATCTATCTGTACAAAATCAATAAGGATAGGCTTTGAGAAGAGTGTCTTCCGAAACTCTGAATCGACAAATATGTCATTACGAGATGACTACAACCCAAGACTAATTGTTATAAAAGAAGCCTGTGATTCATACAAGGGATATAACAAAAACACATAAAAATGCTATATAAACACAAATAAAGACTATTGATCTATATATTATGATGGGTAAAAAATAAAAGAATCAATAGATGATTAAGAAGGCATATTCCACCTGCACACTAGAAACAACCCGAGCAAGAGCTTTTACCATGCCTTCTACAACATTTGTGTTCTTGGGATTCCTACAAGGCATATCAAAAGAAAGCTTTACACAAGTTAATATAATAAAGAAAAAATACAATATAAACAGAGGATTATTCTTCATTTTGCAGAAGAAAATAAAAGAATAAGAATGGATTTTTCTTAGCAAAAATTGTACCACCTATATTACAAGGACTCTTCAAAATTAAGTGAAGTACTCGTGTCACACACACAATACTTGGACATGAGTATGGGATATGAGTCCGACGCATCCAATAATTCAAATCTATTATACAATTTCTCCAAAACAAATGAAATTCCCATCTTAAAAACTATGTTACACAAATATATATTTTACTCTAGAAAAAAAATTTATTAAAAAATTAATAATATGAATATTTAGTAGTTTCCATGTGTCCTATTTGAGAATTTGCACATCCCATTTACCCAAGTCCAGGTAACATAGAAAGCCACTAACAATAGTCGACATCTTCAGCCTTGCCTTAATCCCGTATGAATGAGGTCAGCAAAAAGAATTTTGTTTTTGCATTCTTTTCTATTACAATCCATTTCTCCTATAATATTTAAAATAAATTATTAAAACATTAATAATATGAATATTTAGTAGTGTCTATGTGTCCTATTTGAGAAATTTTTTGTTTTTGATATTAAAAAGCGTTCAAAAGAGGAACGCACGCATCCCTCAGAAACAACACAAGACCTAAAAGGGCCTCTAAACTCTCAAAAGAGTCCAAAAAATCAACAATCTCATCCATGGATTTACAATTCCTTCCAAAAACCCAACAAAAAGGAGTACTAATAATGGAGAACTTCAACATGCCAATAGGGGTCTCCTTTCCTTCAAAAGATCACCTATTTCTTTCAAACCATAAGCACCACCAGATGCATAAAGGTGTGACCCTCCAGAAGTCATGATGCGTGGATTCATACACATCCCCGACACATTTGAGCTATTAAATACAGTATTCTTACGTCTTTATTCTTTTGGGTAAATGGGCGGGATTGTAATTCAATGGATTCTCTTTTGGATTTTGTTGATAGCTTAAACCTAAAGTGTCGTCTTAGACGACTGTTGTCTTCTTTGGGAGCGCTCCCCTTTTGAGCGCCTTTTATAAAATCTTACTTATCAAAAAAAAAAAACATGTACCCAAGTCCAGGTAGTAGCATAGAAAGCCAGTAACACTAGTCAACATCTTCAGCCTTGCCTTAATCCCATATAAACGGGGTCAGCAAAATGAATTCCGTGTTTGCATTCTTTTTTATTACAATCCATTTCTCCTATTATATTTAACTTTTTAAAATCATTTCTATTAACTTCATTCCATGCTTGTTTTAGCAACCTGTCTCTTACCTTCTATGGGAACTAAACTTCCTCTTCTTATTGGTCCATCTACAGGTGTTCGTTGTATATGTCCACACCACCAAAGTTTACTTTCTCTTATTTTATCACCAATAAGCGCCACTCTCACACTTTGATAAATAACTATCTTTTATTGTTACTCCACCCATCCATCTTAAATTTACATTCAGCTAACTGAATACATTGTTGTTGTTTCTTTTTAATAAAATAAATGAATAAATAAATAAAAACCCAACACTATACTCCATATAAGATAGTTGGCCTAATAGCTATCCTATAGAAGTCCCTTTTATTTTTTTATTTTTTTGATAAATAAGAGTATATTGGAAAGCATTCAAAAGGGGAACACATCCCGGGCACGGTACAAGGCCAAAGCCAAAGAGATGGTCCTATGGACCCAAGGAACCCAAAAAATCAACGATCTCCACTATAGATTTACAATTTCTCCCACATAACCCAACTATAAAGAGAACTAATGACAAGATATTTCAAAATCCCAATGGAAGATTCCTTCCCATCGATAGATCTTCTATTCTGCTCCTTCTAAACGTACCACAAACACAAAAAGGAACCGCCCACCAAAAATCACGAGCATGGGCTCCCACAAAACAGCCTCTCCAAGCGTCAATCAAACCCCTCGTATGCCGAGGCATGACCTAATAGACGCCACAGGGAATACAAGAGAAGATGATCCACTGACTCCCCATCCTTCTTACACATACAACACCAATTACCAGTAACCTGTCTTCTCCTTCTCAAATTATCAATCGTTAATATCTTGCCCCAAACTCCATCCAACAAATAAGGCCACTCTGAGAGGAGCCTTCGATCGCCACACCATCTTCCCAGGATAATTAGACCCAAAGAAGCCAAAAAGACAAAAGAACAAGAGCAAACCTCAAACCTCCCCGAGATGAAGGCACCCAAAACATGCAATTAGAGCCTCTCTCATCCAGCTCCTACCTATACAAAAGATTCAGAAGTCCATACACATCATCCACCTTCCAATCTTGGAAATGTCGCCAAAATCGCACATCCCCGTGTAATCCTACCGCGATCAAGCGGACGATCACCGCACCATAAATCCACCCAAAATCGAATGCTCCTGCCATCCTGAGCTATGAATATGATGTGTTTAGAAAATTCGTCCTAACCTTTCCGAACGAACTTCCACAACCCCAACAGATTTGACCGCACAAGAGGACCACCCACCTCTCTCGTCCCCAAAACGGCACGAAATAACCCTTCTCCAAAGCTGATGACGGTCGCCACCGAATCTCCACAACCACTTGCCTAGGAAAGCCTTGTTGAAAGAGATCAACCTCCTAATGCCCAAACCACCCAACTGAATAGGCATACACACATGTTCCCAACGGACAAGATGAAACTTAAATTCCTTCCCTCGACCATCCCAAAGAATGTTTCCCTAAATTCTTTCAATCCTTTTAGCAATAGAGGATGGAATATGAAAAAAGAGAAAGAAAGTACGTAGGAAGACTCAACAACTTACTCTTCCAAAGGGTGACCTTCCCACCCTTGGACAGATACTGCTTCTTCCACCCAGCCAATCTTTTCTCAAAACGGTCAATAACAGAGTCCCAACCTCCCACCCACCTCAACGGAACACCCACCGGTTGACCCATATAAGAAACAGGAATAGTGTTAACCCCACACCCTAGGACCGAAGCAAGAGACGTAACATCCTAGACCTCCCCCACACGAATAAGCGTACTCTTGCCTACATTTACTTTCAGGCCAAAGATTGTCTTAAAGCAAACCAGAACACATCTGAAAAATCTCAGCTAGGACACATCAGCATCACAAAAAACCAAGGTGTCATCCGCAAACAGTAAGAGAGAAATCTCCATCTGATGGGCCGCATCTCTACCCACCCTGAAACCCCTGATAAAGCCAAAATCCATTGCCCTCCTCATCAGTCTACCAGGTGCCTCCATAACAATGATGAACAAAAACGGAGAAAGAGGATCCCCCTATCTCAACCTTCATGAACTCCCAAAGAATCCTGATGGGACCCGTTCACCATAACAAAAAATCTGATTGACGAAATGAAGGCTGCAATCCATCTCCTCCATCTTTCCTCGAATCCCAACCTCTCCAACAGATAAAGTAAGAAACTCCAACTAACATGATCATAATCTGTCTCAATGCCAAGCTTACAGAGAACTCCAGGATCACCACTGCACATCCTGGAATCCACACACTTAATAGAAATAATAACGAAATCCAAAATCTGTCGACCACCAATGAACACATTCTAAGACTCGGGAATAACTCCATTCAAAATAACCCTTATACTCCTAGCAAGGACTTTGGCTGAAGCTTATAAATGCACCCCACTAAGCTGATAGGTCTAACGTCCTTCACATTAGACACTCCCCCCCTTCTTAGTGATGAGGGCAATAAAGGATGCATTCAACGACTTCTCAAACCGCCCACAAGAATGGAATTCATGAAAGTTGCCCATCACCTCGCCCCTAATCACTTCCCAGCTCTCCAACAAAAATCTAATAGTAAACCCATCTAGACCCAGCGCAATTACAACTCTTCAACGCCAACAACACTTCCTCCTCAAAGAAGGAATCTCAATCCCATCCCCTTCCATAGTTGAAATCGAATCAAAAAACAAACCGCTAAGCCGGGGTCCCCAAATGTAAGTCTTAGTGTAAAGCGTCTGCTATTAGGAAGCAATCCCCCTAAACACCTCCTCCTCCCTATAAAGCTCAACCCCATCAACACGAATCCGCCTGATATGATTGCCCCTCCTATGGGCATTGACAAACCTATGGAAAAACCTCCTATTGTGGTCTCCCTCCTTGAGCCATAAGGCCCGAGATTTCAGTCGCCACAAAATCTCCTCCAGAATAGCAATCTCAGCAATATCCGCCTCGCAATCGGCTCTTTAAAGTCTCTGAGCCTCAACAATACTGCCCATCCCTTCCAATCCATCAATCTCAGCGATTTCTAAAATACCCTATTCTTCCTCCGCTCCAAGTCCCAAAACCCTCCTTATTCCATCTTTTAAGCTCCACCTTTAAGAAACAAAGCTCCCCAGCCAACACAATGCTCGAGGTACCAATAACCATAGTCTCCTCCCACCAAGACCGAACTCTCCCATGGAAATCCTTCGCTTTAAGCCATATATTCTCAAATCTGAATGGAGTACACCGAGATCTCAAACCACCACAATCCATCACTACTAAAGGTATATGATCAGCGGTCACCCTAACCAAAGCCACCTGCACAACATTCGGGAATCTCTCCTCCCATTCCCCAAAAATCAAAAACCTGTCTAGCCAGGAAAGAGAATACCTCGACACCAATATCCTATCCCACATGACAAGGATACCACGAGAATACCACATGACAAGGACACCCTCGACACCAATGTCCTATCCCACATGACAAGGATACCACGAGAATACCTCACAGCATCCAAAGCCTCCCACTCAACGAACCTCCCTCCCCAAAGACTCCTAACCATCTTATCTGACATCAAAGCAACCTTCTATTATTGCAAACAGACCACATGAGCCCCCCATTTCCTCACCACCTCCCTCTTGTCCAAATCATTGAGACCGCAGACATTCCAAGAAATAATTTGGAGCTTCATGAGGAAACAATATCATTCCCTTCCCTCCT